AGTTAGAATTTATATATTTAAGCTTGTGGCTTGTAGGGTTAGGGGAAAGAAACTGATACTGTATGGTGATTCCTCGTTTTTTAAACTAATAAAATATGATGATGGTCATAATGTATACTATTTATAATGACTTCCTCCTATTCCGCAGATTTTTTCACAGTGTGTGTGAGACTGACCCCTTTAAAAACCACAAAAACTTTAGCCTACACGAAGCAACATGCTCGTAAATGGAAGCAAAAAATATTCGGCCCATCAATAATCCATATTGAGAGCTTGTAGCTTCTATCTACAGCATTTTTTCTCTTAGTTTAAAGCAGCACCTCGTGTTAACAACAGCACTGAAAAGGTTCACTTTTCTAGTCTATGTGATATTAATTATTTGTGACAATGCTATTGCATGCTGAAGTAGAATCGCTGCTCACCACTGACTCACCGATGAGCAAACATGCAGGAACTGATGTTACATTTAGGAATGACTCTCCACCTCTGGGGCACCTACACAAAGAGGGGGTGGAAGATGCATGGAAACCCGGGCACCCTGAAAACATAACATGAAGGAAAATCCATGGTAACCTTTCAAGGATTGAAATATCCAGGTTCAGTAGCCCATCAGAGGACAAGCAGAGGCATGTTGTAAATAAGTGATGGGAAGGATGGAGATGACTTTGTGAGGGACAATCCATATGTCAATCTGAGCTCAATGTATAAATCAGGAGCATGTCTCTTCCAGTCGTTTTGCAGATGTTTGCAAGTTGACAAATAAGAGTAGTGAGGGAAAATGTGGATTCTGCAGCTTTGTCAAACAGTTCAAGGTCAGAGGGCAGGATGTTGATAAGAGGCTGAAAATATGCAGAGGTCAAAGGTGGGCTGACTTTTACTCAGTCTTGAAAATTATTATCATCTCAGAGTAATTTCCAGGGGAGCGACGTCCCTGTTAACCTTTTTAAAGTTTTATTAATATGTGATGTCTGAACCTGTTACTATCCTCATCTCAAAAAGTATTTATCCCTTTGCAGATGTAATCTATCATTGCAATATATTAATCCCTTGTTAACGTTCACATTACCTGACAAAAAAAAATTATATCAGAATAAGCAAATCAAAAACAAAAACAATTTTTAGTTTAATTCCAGGGAACATTATATTTCTTTAAGAAAAAAAGCAATCCAAAGCTACCTAACTCAGTGTGAAATATAATCGCCCTCACTTGTTGAACCATCAATTAAAGCTGAAGTTCGTTTTTTTTTTTTTTAGTCACACCAGAATTTAATTACTGAGTGACAACTCGAATCAATAAATCACTTGACAATTATAGGTCTGACAACCTGAAATACACTTAAAAGCTTCATATCACTCCTTCATTTAAAGAAATTCAGACATCTGAAACACATCGGTGAGTTTCAGTGTCTATGCCTGAAAAAAATAACAATAATGGGGATCTTGATTATAGCGGTTGGTTTAATTACAAAAAACATTCAACAAATTATAAATGCAGAAGCCAGAGAAACATTTAATATATTGTTAGCATGACCTGGCTGATTTAAGTTCCGCTTAAACAGCGAGACAGGGGGCAAATAAGGCCTCCATGAGAACGATTCCCGGGTAGAAAACACTGCCATAGGAACATAAGAAACATTTTTCTGTTGACTGACAAACGGACCTTTTGGACATCTGGCATAAAGCAAAGTTTTTTTGAGTTGATTAAAATCCCTACAATGCATATTTATTAGTTACAGCAAAACCCTTGAGGAAAGGACTGTTGCAAATAGTTTTAATACATAAAAAATACTTTTTTCACATACACTCTAAAAAGAAATTGTAGCTCCAACGTAAATTAATTTCTTCAATTATGAATTTAATAAATTAAGTTGGACTTGTATAAATTACTTGTTGCCAATTGAAGCAGTCAGTTGAAACAGCATTTTCTTTTTGTGTAGCTGCTTTCCTTAGACAATTCAGTTTATCATTTAAAACAGCATTTTCTATTTATACATGTAATTTTTATTTTTATTTTTTGGAATAAATTATGTATATTAGTTATGTAAAACATTTAAGTAAAACAAAAAGGAAGAAACTAGGAGAATCTGTCAGGGGGGAAATACTTTTTGACAGGGTTTTACTTTATTCAGATGGACTCATTAAAGATGTTGTTCAGTGTGGATAGCAAGGTTTCTATCAATAGTGTTTTTTTCATTGATTTAAATATCTTTGATTAGTCTTAAAACAGAAAAGTCTGCTTGAGTGCCCTCAGCTGTTGCTGTTGAGTACTGCAGCCCTCACTCCTGTCCTTTTTCAACAAACGCACACAACAAACTTGTATGACAAGTCTCAAAGCACAGATTCGGTCCCTCCCCCGAGTAAGCATGTGATTGTTTGCTGAGACACTTTCACAACGTGTGTGGGTGGGGAGAGGGAAAAAAAGTGATCTAGCAGAATACAAAAAAAAAAAACCAAAGGGGAAGGGAGATAGTGTCATGAGACTGCTGATCTCCTTTCACTTCCTCTGTACTTCCTCCTGTGCTGTTTTGCTCAGTTCCAGCCACCCCAGCTTAAACTATTTGTTCTCTCTTTTCTCTTCCTGCCATCCTTAGATGAACTCGATGAACAGTGTTAGCAGTTCGGAGGACATCAAGCCTCCGCCGGGCCTGCAGCCTTTGGGAAACATCAACTATCAGTGTACGAGCCCCGGGGGGATGTCAAAGCACATCTGTGCTATTTGTGGGGATCGATCTTCAGGTAATATAAAAGGGGACTAAACATCCTCTTAGGTTTAGTTATACTTCTTTCAGCTGTGATCTGGGGTACGGGTTGAGTGCTGGGATATTTCTGATTGAGTCTGATGTCCTACAGGAAAGCACTACGGTGTGTACAGCTGTGAGGGCTGTAAAGGCTTCTTTAAACGCACTGTACGTAAAGATCTCACTTACACGTGTCGAGACAACAAAGAGTGCCTGATAGACAAGCGTCAGCGGAACCGCTGCCAGTACTGCCGCTATCAGAAGTGCCTGGCCATGGGCATGAAGAGAGAAGGTGAGCCTGTGGAGTCTTTTTAAAGAGGTTCTGGTTTTAGAGCTTTGATCATTTGTCTTTACTTTGATGGTCGCATAGTTTAATGATTATTAATCATTGTCAAAATATCGAAACAAACTGTCGATACATATCTCATTAGTTTTCTTAATAAAGAAAAGTAAAATTGGATTTGGTGGTTTTTATAGATTTTACCAACCACCTGTCAGTCCATCCATCCATCCATCCATCCATCCATCCATCCATCCATCCATCCATCCATCCATCCATCCATCCATCCATCC